TCTCTCTCTCTCTCTCTCTCTCTCTCTCTCTCTCTCTCTCTCTCTCTCTCTCTCTCTCTTTTGTGCATAACTGTGCTTTTAGAGCGTTATAGGATCCATTGAGGTTGATTGAGGATCAATCCACTTGCCAATCTCGTCCTTCGATCGCGACTGGGCGTTCCAGCGCTGGAGTACAATCCGTGGGAAAGTAGTGAAGCCTTTTTTGGATGGGGTTGGAGAGACGGTACGATTCTACCGGCGAGATGGATGGCCCACTAGATGGGCGTGTGGACGTGTGTTCAAGTGTTATCGATACTACCGCCATCAGCGAGGAGAGGGATAAAGCTGAGAACGCGAACTCGAAACAAGTGAGAGATTGGGAGAACAGAGCGAAAGAGGGTGCAGATGTCCACCGAGAAGCGCCCAGCAAACTGGTGAGTGGAGTAGGAGAAAGAGGAGGAGCCTCAGGAGGAGAGCAATCGGGATCGGGACTTTCCATGACGGAATCAGCACCTGTTAGCAGCGCCTGCGGCGCAGCACACGAGGAGGTAGTACAAGTGCCAACGAGCCGTACGACCACTCTCAGTATACTTCAAGATCTCAGTGAAGATGCTGAAGGAATGGGACTCAGAGAGAGCCAGGTTGGGAAGGAGGAGGAGGAGGAGGAGGTGGAGACACAGTCTGCGAAATTGAGCGGCAGATGGGATGAAGCAGAAGACAGCGCCCGCGAGCATCAACGCCAGTGGAACGCCCAGAAGAGCGAACCAGGTGAGGGGAGAGAGGTGATTGGCAACGAGCGACGAGGACATCAATCAGGAAGGATCGTCAGAGAAGAGATGGCGCGCTGTACGAGACACGAGGCCAATATGTTTAGAACGACGAGGAGCGTCGATGATGATGAGGCGATGAAGAAAGACATGGTGTTAAGCAGGAACGGACTCAAGGGAGGAGTCCGACATAAGGAGGGGAAGGATTGGGAGAAGGAGCCGGTCGACGGCGCTAAGGAGAGTGAGGGCAAAGAATGCAAGTTGGGGGAGAAAATACCTCACAAGTGGTCCTTTGGCTTTCTGAAGCGGGCTTACGGACTTTCCCCTTCTCATGGGTGTGAAACACCTCCTCCTTCTCCTCCTTCCAAACCCCGTGGCCGCTCCTCGAAACGCGTTCGTGCAGCTGGGTGTCAGACCTGCGGAAAGCTGCGTGCAACCTCTCAGCCTCCTCTCCCGTGGGTATGTCAGAACTGCCATGCCATAAATTACGGTCGCACAAAGTAGCAAGGTGATACAAGACACGGGAAGGAAGCACAGGATCTGGATTTGGAGTCGTCGGGGAACAATGGGCCCACGTTGGAAGTGGCCTTCGGTTGGAACATGCAATAACGAATGGAACCATGCGAAACTCTGTTTCCCGTGGATCATCGTTCTCACAGCGTGTCTCTCTGTACAGTAGTAGTAGTAGTGGATCACAGGCTTTATGTTGCGTGGAGTACTCATCTCTCTACTGTGTCTCTCTGTACAGTCAATACCCAGCTGAAGTCACTACAAGTCTCTAGCTGCTCTCCGTTGCATGGATAGGAATACAGAAAGTGATATGCGAATCACAGAAAGAAAGAAAGCACGAAAGAAAGAAAGAAACAGACACAGAGAGAGAGAGAGAGAGAGAGAGAGAGAGAGAGAGAGAGAGAGAGAGAGAGAGAGAGAGAGATGCGCACACACACAGAGGTGTGTGTGTGTGTGTGTGTGTGTGTGTGTGTGTGTGTGTGTGTGTGTGTGTGTG